TCTTAGCTGATGGCTTTTCCCCGGATCTTTAGTTTCCTTTCACGTGAGCTCAGACCAGTACTCCGCCAGACTTGCAGATCTCCCTGGAGGTCTTTTTATGTGCAATTGCATTTTCCTGGACACTGCCTCTGGAGAATAAGGTCGGATAATCATAGGGATCATTTTGTTTTTTTCTCTTTGGCTGAATCATTTTCTGCAGAGCCTGTTGCCCAGTCTCTGAAAAATATTACTGAATGTATTTTTTTTCAGTTGTCTGTTTAGGTGAGAGTATAAATATAGTCCTTATAACTCGATTTTGGTCATAAACAGAACATTTATGTAATTTATTAAAAATAGTTTTAAATGCTTGAAAGGGTCTTTCTCAATTTACATCAAGTTTTGTACATATAGTTTATCCTTATTAAGAGAATTAAATATTTTAAATTATTAACAATTGGTACAGAGATACCTACAGAGATTGTCTAGCTCTATTGTTTTCATCATCTTGAATATTTACAAAAATTTTGAAGCAGCATATTACTGATATTAATATCAGTAATATCACAGATTAATTATAGATATTAGTATCACTGATATTAATATCTCCTTGTTATGTGTGTTAAGATTGAGATTCATAGAAGTTAATAAGTTTGTCAAAGTCAGTATACTAAGCCACTTACATTTGAATGTGGTTTCTTTGACATTTACACACCACATAAAGTAACATGTCATATTTAAACAGATCACATTAAAAAAGGGGGGGAGCCAAAGCATTTTTAAGGTTAAAAAGTTAACATGCAGAAAATTTAATTAAATCAGATAATAGAATTTCACAATATAGGTAGCACTGTAGCACTGTCCTCCTGTTGTTCATTGATTTGGTCGAGCGGGCCCAATAACGTCTCCACTGTGAGACTTGTTGTTACTGTGTTTGGCATATCAAATACATCATGGGTAGCTTGTCAGGCTTTGCCATGCGTGTGAGATACTCTCTGTAGCTTGTCGGGCTCTCTGAGAGGGACAGAGGAATTGAATCCGGGTTGACTGGGTCAGTCTCATGCAAGGCAAACATCCTACCCGCTGTGCTATCGCTCCAATAGCTTTCAGTGAGTTCTGTGAATTCTTCTCATAGGCAAAGAATCAATATATTATTTTGTGAGGTTATGTGTGTGTTTAGAGTAGAAGAAAGCATATTAATGTGCATATGTGAATGTGTTTTGTGCATTGGATATACTAACATACGTAACCACATAACTGTCCTTGAACCCTGTATCATTGTCATCCCATTGTTCATTGATTTACTCGAGCAGGTGCCAGTAACGTCTCTATTCATCCCAGCCCTGAGATTTTAGCAGCCTCTCCTTACTTATCTTTCCCAATGATTGGAGGCTCTTTCAGGGTCAGGGGAATGAGACCTGCTATAGTTACTGGTTTGGGCATAGCGAATATGCCACATCAGGGAACTTGCCAGGCTCTGCCCATGTGGGCGGGATGCTCTCAGTAGCTTGCCAGGGTCTGATATATATATATATATATATATATATATATATATATATATATTTCTCTATAATTTGTGCCTAATATCTGAACTCCATCAAACATGGTGATTACATGATCAGCATCACCTGAATTGTATTCAATTTTCAAGCTCTCTATTATTCTCTTAGGACGATCGCAACAAATTGCTACCAATTTTTGGTGACTTAAAGCAATAGAAATGTATTCTTGTTATAGCACTAGAGGTCAGGGATGGAAATCGAGGTGTCACAGGCCTGCAGTGCCTCTGAAGGCACTGGGGGAAGCTCCTTGCTTTCCTCTTTCTAATTCTTCAGGTTTCTGGTGTTCCTGGGCTTTTGTCTGTGTGATTACATTCTCTGTCCACATTTTCCCAAGGCACATTTCCCAGTCTTTCTTTCTCCCCTTCTCTTTTATATATGGTCTTGGACTTAATACCCACTCTAGTCCAAGATGATTTCCTTTTGAATTCCTTCATTATATCCGCAAAGACCCTATGTGCAAAGATCACATTGGCAGGTACCAGGAGTTAGGACCTGTTTGTATCTTAGGGTGTTAAGGGTGGAAATACTTTTATCCCTATAAAGTTTCTATGCAAGTTCTGAGGCTCCTTAAATTTCTACCCAGAGGGCCATCCGACTAGCTCAGTAAGTGGTTTGCAAACCTCTGTATTCTTCTCCAGGGTCTCTGAATTTTGGGAAAGCCAGACGCAGAGCACATCTCCCTCTTCCACCTCCCCTCTCTAGCTTTGATTCAGCAGAGCTTGCTATCCTATGACACAAGTATTTTACCTCCTTTAATTCTTCATGAACCAGGCCTGGGAAGTAACTCTAGATGTCCAAGTCCGAACCAGAAGACTTCTTTTTTGTTTGTTTGTTTGTTCATTGATTCATCCTTGCTGGACAATATAAACTTCTAACTCATAACTGCAGCCCCTAGGGCATCTTCTCTCTGGCTATGTCTCGTTGTGTTTGGGCAGTGAAGCAGCCCTGGGTCTGTGCCACCTTTGAGTCAGAGACTTGGCCGTCCAACATTCCGATTCACTCCCTTCCCTCCGACGTCTGCTGGTGCCCAGCACTTCTGTGTTGCAATTTTTCTTTTCAAGTTCTTTTTCACTGCACATACAAGCCATGGCTTTTCTTGCTAATTCTTTCTTGTAATCTTGCTAATGAAGTATCTTCAACATGATGGGGCTGAATTTTTAAGGGGTTAGGCTTAATAACTAGGTCATTACCACTATTTAGTAACCTGGACTCATTAACAGGGCTCTTTTCTTTTCTCCTCGCCGCAGCATAATGAGGCTATTAATTAGAGCCAAGACATGAGCGCTCTGGGTTCGCTTTAATGCCATCTGGGGAAATGGCGAGGTCTTGGGTCATAATTCCTGTTAAATGAGTTTCACTTCCATGTAAATGTGTTTTCTCTTTAAAGGTTTTTTTTTGGGGGGGGGGGCAAGTATTTCCCATGCCTACCTTTTCATCTCTGTGGTGGGAGTTTGGGGGTATGGTAGAATTGGGGGTGTGGTAGACTCTGAGGGTTATTCTTGCTGGTCCCATGACTTACTCTCGTCTAGACATGGGGCAGAGTTTCATCTCTCCTTTTCTTCATCTGGGCAAGTGTAACGGTTAAATGAATTCACACATCCAGTGCATAGAGCAATTCCTGGCACAGTGGGCATTTTATTTGGGTGAACAGTTATTCTTATCCATTAAATCCAGAGAAGTAGCTTTGATAACTGCAGGTTGTAAGTCACTTTTTAGGGTGTGCACTTTTTTTTACGGTGAATTTGAGTTGTGTCTCTCCAAAGCCTGTCCCCCTGTTTCAAAATGAACCGTAACTTGGAGATAGGATGTTTGTAGAGGAAAGGAATTTTTGTTTTTGTTTTGTTTGGGGGAGGGTTCACACCCAAGTGTGCTCAGGACTTTCTTATGGCTCTGCTCTCAGGGATCACTCCTGGCTCAGGCTTGAGGGAACATATGTGGTACCGGGGATTGAACCCGGGTCAACTTCATACAAGGCAAGCATCCTACTGCTATATTGTCACTCCAGCCCAGTATTTTGTAGAGGAAATAAAGTAAGACTGGGGTCATTAGGATGGGACCTCCTCCAGTTGGACAGGTGTCCAGATCAAAAGGGGTGACTTGGGATACAGAAATATACCAAAAGAGAAGGTGACATGAAGAGACATGAGAAGATGGTGACCTCCAATGAACCCCAGGAAGAAGTCTGAAACAGATCCTTCCTTTGGCACCAAACCTCCAACCCCCTGAGTTTGAACTTCTCACCGCCAGTCAGAGAAAATGGATTTCTGCTGCTTAAGCCATCTCGTGGCAGTGTTTTGGAAGCCCTAGAAAAACAACGCAGATGTCAAAAGGAATCTCTAACCTCAAGGAGCATATAATCTTGTGGGAGGAATCTATTCCATGGGACTCAGGACCTGGCAAAAGCAATTCACTCATCTGTTTAAACCAAAAATAAGGAAAAAAGCAAACATCAGGGTACAGAGGTCAGACTTGTGAGTGGCACATAGATATCTACAGTATACCCCATCTCTTCCTCTGCCCCTCTTTTTTTCCACCACACTACTTATTTCTTTTTTAATCCTTTCTTTACTTCCAGTTATTATAGTTTCGGTCGTATGTTAATGTTACCGTTAATGGTTTGGCTTTGCTTACACAACTATGTCACCATACCACCACCAAAGTGCCCAAGACCCTCTACCAATGTCCTTTTGATTATTCTAGTCCACCTCATCCATTGCCTCCACCAACCTACATACTTTTCTCAGTTTTGTGATCCAAGACCAAGGGTTTGCCATCATTCGATCATGTCTATTCCCTTCTTTTGTTTCTCTCTGTATAAACCACAGGTGAATGATATCATTTGTCCTTCCTCTACACCTAAATGATGCATGTGTCCTTACTGCGCTTTGCGTTTCTGTTTGACGTGACCACTCTGTCGCATCCTTTCTCCCTCCCTCCTTCGTCTCCCTCTCTGCATCCACCCCTGTTTTCTGTGCTTCTTCACGGCATAAGTCAGAAAATATAATTATCCAGTCATACCCTGGTTATTAAATATATAACCATCTAGAATAAACTATTCCAAGTTCTCATGGAAGAAGAGAACTTCTTCTTTCACACCCTGACTTAGGTGCCAGCCCCATCAAGTGGAGAGATCTGGATGTCAGTGTATAGTGGGTGCTTCCATCCTAGCCATGTGGCTACAGTGCAGGGCGGGATGGGCCGAAGTCTCACAAAAGGAGAGGCATCACTGGAATCAGAGAACTATAACACCATACAGTTGCAGAGCAGTTAGAAATCTAAGGCAAGTGTTATATCACACAGAACTGAGCTCCTTAGCATCCTGGAGCTAGAGTTGCCTCTTCGACCTTCAAGGAGATAGAAATATGTCATGTTTTGGAGCATGGGAGATTCTCAATAAGCATTCGCAGTGGTGAGTATTGTTGGTATTGGATGAATCTTCTTGTGTTTTGCTTTCTCCTTCAGGCAGAATTCTCTGAGTTGAATCTGGCCGCTTATGTCACGGGAGGCTGTATGGTGGACATGCAAGTCGTGAGAAATGGGACCAAGGTAGTAAGGTAAGAAGCGCTTGGTTATAAGAATTCTTCATTTGAAGGGGTGTACAGGGTCTCTCCTAGAGCCAGTCGTAATGTCTGGTGCTTTCCACCTTAGCCCTTGCATGGCATGTACTCTCTTGTACAAAATGTCTGCCTCCAGAGTTCTGGCACAGGTAGGATGGGATGAGCCCTAGACTCACAAGTAAGGATGCTAATCCCATGTAGGTCTCTCTTCAGGAGTCCTGGTTAGTCCTTCTTCACTTCCCTTTTTTCTCTGCAGCATAATGATAGCAGAACAGAAGTAGGAGGGATGTGTGTGAAAACACCCTACGAATTCCAAAGTTCTGTACAAATTCAGGGTTTAGTAGCATAAGCTACATTCTCTTTCCAGTAAGAGGGCATCCAGAGAATTCACTCCCAGTATATGAACACTAACAATACTGCATAGAACATTTTCCCCAAATATATCTGCCCCTATGTGTGCTGAACCAGAAGGTAAATAAGATAATTCTCTCAAAGCAAAGAAAGCACAAAAGCACAAATGGAGAAAGAAAGCATGTAAATTAATATATTTCTATATTAATATGCTTCCTAAGGGAAGTACCCAGAGAATGATACTAATTAGGCCTTATGAGGGTTCAGATGGCAAAGAGGCCACAGAGTTGGGGGTGTAAATAGAAAAAGTTTTGAGGAAAGGGTGACATTTGTTCTGAGTCTTGTCAAACAGTGGAATGTGGGCATTCTATGCATTCTGAGCATAGGAAGCAGCCTTTGCAAATACCACAGGCATAAGAAGTAGTGTATTCAGAAATTCAGCTAATTCAGCCATCGCTTGCTGAGTGCCAACTGCATGCCAGGAAAGACACTGACACTATGTCGCTTCCATTTCCAAGAGTGGGAGGGACTGTTTGAAACAACTCTTCTGCTGAAAACAACTCAAAAACTGGTGCTAACGAATGGTAATCTTCAGAGTTGGCATAGTAGGGAAGGTATTACCAGGACACGAATGGTTGGAAAATAGGAACCCGAAGAAATAAATGCATACAAAGCTATCCACCTATTCCCTGAAAATATTGCCAAGTCCAGCAACTTTGAAAGTTGGTTTTGATCACTGAGCAGGGTCAAGGGAAAGAGAAATCATCCCACGGTACCACTCAGAATGGAGACCATAATGGCAGATCCTGCCTGCACCAAACTGCCGAGACCCGTAGAGCAATGCCTTCAAGGAAATGTGAATTCCAAGTACATGAGTGCTCAAAAGTGCTGACAGCTAGAATTGCGTTTTGATGGCCTTCCAGAGGGCGTAAAGCAGTAAAGCGAGTTTATGGTGATCTCAGACATGCCAGAAGTAAAATCCAATCTTAAGTAGAAGAAGGTACTTTTTTTTCTTAGTCTTCAGATCATTTTTTAAATAACTTTCGTAGAACAGGGACTGGAGTGATAGCACAGTGGGTAGGACATTCGCCTTGCACACGACCAACCCAGGTTCCATTCTTCCGCCCCTCTTGGAGAGCCCGGCAAGCTACCAAGTCCTGCCCGCGCAGCAGTACTTGGCAAGCTCCCCGTGACGTATTCTATATGCCAAAAGCAGTAACAACAAATCTCACAATTTGTTGTGAGACGTTACTGGTGCCCGCTCGAGCAAATCCATGAACAACAGGGAGACAGTGCTACAGTGCTTTGTAGAACGGCTAACACATAGACAAGATCCCTAGACACAGGCACTGTGGGTGACAAGAAAATTCAGACCAAGAACAACAAGCAGAGTCTAGAAAGATGCCGTCAAAGACATTCGATATTTGATTGAACAGACATACTCTAAAATTTTAAAAAGAAAATTTATATTAAGTTAATACATACTTATTAGGTTGAAGATATCTGTAGGGAATAAATAGCAATAAAAGATGATATGAGGGGCTGGAGAGATAGCACAGCGGGTAGGGAGTTTGCCTTGCACGCGGCCGACCCGGGTTCGATTCCCAGCATCCCATATGGTCCCCTGAGCACCATCAGGAGTAACACCTGAGTGCAGAGCCAGGAGTAACCCCTTTGCATCGCCAGGTGTGACCCAAAAAGAAAAAAAATAGATGATATGAGCTATTTAAAGAAACAAATAGAGTATCTAAAGATGAAAACTACAACAACTAAAATTTGCGGGTGTGTGTGTGTGTTTAGTGGTTTGTTCAGACAGTGTTGGTGATTAAGAAATTGACATTATCCTGTACAAGTTAATAAATAACCTCCTCACTGAGCTTCAGCTACCCATGAACAGGTGTGTCAGTGGATTACTCTTTGTCCCCAGTTCACCATGCCCCTGTTCTTATATCCTTGTTCCTCCAGTGGTCAGAGGATGCAGATGTGTTGAAAGAAAAATACAACCTTGGCAGCCCTGGTAGAACCCCAAAGAGCAAAGTCCCCCTTCCCTTTAGCCCTTACAGTCTGCCAATTCCCCGGGTATTCCATGGAGTCTCCCTCTTATGGTCAATTGTGAGAATTGCAATCTCTGCAAAATACTGTATGAGTTGTTCAGTATATTTTTTCCATTATAATAGCCACCCCTTTTTGGTAAAAATCCAGATATAAAATGTATTCTTTCAGTATTTTCAGATTTTCATTTTTACAAAACCAAAAATGGCATATAAATTCTTCCTGAGAAACATCATCTGGGATGACAGCGGGGAAGGATTTATGTTCATTATTTTTAACAATCACCGATTACATTAAATGTAAATAGGCTAATTACTCTAATTTACAGAGCATCTCCAAGAAGATTGTTAAGATTTATTAAGAATATGACTATATTTAATTCAAGAGATTCATCTAAAAATATACAAAGTTTGAAAGATAAAACTATGTCAGTGTATATTTATATACATATATAACTGTATCACTGTATCACTGTCATCCTGTTGTTCATCGGTTTACTTGAGAAGGTGCCAGTAACATCTCCATTCGTCCCAGCCCTGAGATTTTAGCAGCCTCTCCTTACTCGTCTTTCCCAATGTTATCAGAGGCTCTTTCAGGGTTAGGAGAATTAAAACCATTATTGTTACTATTTTTGACATATCAAATACGCCATGGCTAGCTTGCCAGGCTCTGCCACGCAGATGGGATAATCTCAGTAGCTTGCCGGGCTCTCTGAGAAATATATATATATTGCTGGAGCAATAGCGCAGCGGGTAGGGCATCTGCCTTGCACGCAGCCAACATGGCCGACCCGAGTTCGATTCCTCCGCCCCTCTCGGAGAGCCCGGCAAGCTACCGAGAGTATTCGATATGCCAGACACAGTAGCAACAAAGTCTCCAATGGAGACGTTACTGGGCCCGCTCGAGCAAATCGACGATCAACGGGAGGGCCTTTACTTTAAATATATAATATATATATATATATATATATATATATATCTGTCACTGTCACCCCGTTGTTCATCAATTTTCTCTTTTCTCGAGCGGGCCCAGTAATGTCTTTATTGTGACAATTGTTACTGTGTTTGAACACAGTCACGGGTAGCTTGCCAGGCTTTGCCGTGCAGGTGAGATACTCTCAGTAGCTTGCCGGGCTCTCTGAGAGGGGTGGAGGAATTGAACTCGGGTCGGCCATGTTGGCTGCATGCAAGGCAAATGTCCTACCGCTGTGCTATTGCTCCAGCATATATATATATATATATATATATATATATATATATAAAATTCTCTCTATGATTTGTTGCCTACTGGCTGAATCCCATCAAATATGGTGTGGTAATTATGGAAAATAAGTAGGTAGTGTCTTACGATGTGTCCAGGAATATGTTCAGTCATATGTGAGGCTCTGCCCGAGCATGTGGAAGGCAGCCTGGAGCATGGCGGCGGTTGGGTAGTGGAGGTTGGCTGCCAGGGCTGGGTCCCTTGGGGTGGGGAGGGCTCTCACCTGACCCCCTCTGTGGCACCCCGAGTGAAAACAGCCTGGTGTGGAGTCTGACTATATAACTACTTGGTGAAAGAAAGGTGTTCAATGTAGTCGTATTAATAATACGGCAGAAATCAACATCCAGGAGATAGACTTTGGATAATAACCCATTATGATAGATCAAGAATTCATTTACCAAGAAGAAATCTTTTTTAATTTATAAGCACCTCCAAGTGAATGCCTCAAAATACACTCAAAATTGGAAAAACTATAAGGAGAAATAAACATTCCACCAACATGGAATATTTTGCTAGATATATACATTCTCTTACTGCATTAAGCAGTTGCATTTTGCATGAAAGACATGTGTTTTAAAAAAGAAGAGACCTAACATGCTGAATGTAAGAATTTTCGTGTGTTCTTACACACAGTGCACATGGGGATTATGTGCACTTATGGTCTACTTCCTTGTCTGGGTAGGGTGCTTCATGGTCTATAACTATGTAGAAATTAGGACATTTATCTCATTGACTTTCAAATCCAGAACAAAGTAGAATCAGCTGAGAAATGTTTTTAATCTGGGTACCTGCTCGAATGAGAAACCAAGGATGCTTGGGACTGTGAAGCAGCAGTCACCTATGAGGAGCTTTGAGAACTTAAGGTGATTCCACCAGGCAGTTGGAGGGAGAATCTTCTAAAAGAAAAAGCTGAGCAGTACTCTTGACTTGCCATCTAGTCTTTCCAAGCCCCTCAGCATGCTCAAGCTGTGTAAGAGGATGATCAAGGCCTTTGTCGTCTCCTTCCGGGAAACCAAATCACTGTTGGGTGCTCTGGCATCCAATTCTCCTGCTTTGGGAAAGAACACCAAGATTTCCTGCAGTAGCCACCCTACCCCATCTGGAAGACTGGGAGCTGAAGGTGTTTATCCAATCCTAGAATCAGAGTCACCCCCCCACCCAGGGCTATTGGACTTGCTATGGAAAGGAACAAAGGCCAGGAGGGAGAGGGAGAGAGAGTTGGAATAACCTGCCTCTTTTAAGAATATTTCGTCCAGATCCATCACTAACCTTGAGTCTCCCTAGAACAAAATCGAACAACCAACCTTTTTTGAGGAAGCCAGGTTGTATGGCAC